TTTTTTAATAAAAAAATTGCCGAAAATTCGCAACAAAAACTTAAAAGTCAGGATAGTTTCTTATTATAATGACGTGCACGGACGTGCTTTTCAATGGCGAGTTTTTTAAGGGAATCTTTAAAATATAGGATGTCATTGTTATCATTTTTTTCTTCTATGTTTGACATTCATGTGGGATAGTAAAACTTTATAAAAGATATACTTCTCTTGTTTTTTTTATGAATCAATTTTATCAACTTTCTCAATATCAATAAAAAAATAAAATGAATAAAAATATATAAAATTTTAAATATATTCTTATATAATAAATATAAAAATTAATGTTATGTTATTTTTATCTCTCACTGAGGGTAATTTTAAAAAATTTTTGAAATTTATTATCTCAAAAGTCACACCATAAATTATAAATGAAATCAGATAGATTTTTTTAAAATGTGTCTTGTTAGTGAAACTAGAGGGAGTATTTAATATGAATAAAAAAACTCATTTAATTTGTAATAAAATTAATAAATTTTCAGGCTTTTTCTTTATTTTTTTAAAAAATATTGAGATTGACTTGTAAATGAGATCAGGGGCTGTGATCCTGCCTTTTTTTGTCTTCTGTCCTTCACATAGCAATACATCCAGGTCGTGCCAAATTTTAATTATATCCGCGATGATTAATGAATTCAATATACCTTTTTATTTCATCGCGAGGCAAGACAATTTGAAACCTATTGTGTATTGTCAAAGTCTTGGATACTATAGAATTCAATGTTAGCTGTTTTAACGCGCCATTAACAAGTGTACAGTATCAAACTACTTAATCCGTTTTTTTATATATAAAAAAAATTATATCACATAATATAAAAAACTAATTAACTATAATAATTATACCTAAAAATAAAAAAAAACTAGACTAAAATATCATAGATTATCAACACAAGTATGCATTAATAAATTTGTAATAAATATGTAATTTAAAAAATTTATAATAAATGTTCATTGAAATATATGTTTTTGTTTATAAAATAAAAAATGACAATTTCTCTAACAAATAAAAATGAAAAGAGTATGCGCTATATGCTATTCTATCAAGAAGGATAGAAGTATATAACATTTACCATTCCTAGAAATACTCCTCAGCAATGCAAATGCCTCTTGGGTTGTAACTCCATTAACCTTTCTATTTATATTTTGCGTGATTGCAAGGAAGTTTAAAATGTTTGAAAAATATTAATGAATCCTACAAAACTTAATATCTTTTTCTTTTTTGGAGTGCAATAATGGATAATTTGAAATGTTAAAAATGAAGCAAGTAATTCGGTAACAAGAACTCCTAGGTAGAAACTTTTTGTCCAACCATGTTGGAACATGTGAAAAGCCAAATGCAGGAAAATCTAATTTAAAGATGATATACTAGACAGTGACATTGCTTTTCCCCGCATCCAATAGATAATCAACAACTTGAAGCTGTTTTTTTTTTGTTAGAACAACCTGAAGCTTTAATTTAAAATCAACCAAATGAGCAAAAGAGACAATAAATATGAGGCTAAGTGGAGCCGTTTGGAACTTGGTTGAAATAGACTCAACATTGATAGTTTGATTAATCCTAATGGTTCTACTACATGTGGAGATATCATTAAACATGACAAGAGAAATTGGATTAAAGGATTTTGCAAGAATTTTATGCACTAAATCAGTATAGCAGTCAACCTCTTGGGAGTTTGGAAGGTCTCAGTCATTGTTGGAATGAAAAATTATTCAAAATTAATGTTTATTTAGATTATATGGAAGCTTTATCACTTATTGATAATAGCTAGAGTTGTGCAAGAAGCCCAAAATGCCCACATTGGCTCAATGGTTTTTTGCCTTGCCCATGACCGAAAACAATTTCCTAAAAACAAATAGGCATGGTTGGGTTAAGCGCAAACCTCAAGTTGGGTAGGGCTTGGGGTTGAGATGTCCAATTAGTTAGTCATACCTGACCCGATGTTATATATTATTTTTTTAAAAAAATTAAACCGATGTCATTTTGTTCGTTGGAAGTGACAAGCTAAGATAAAACCCTATCTTCTCCTCACTCAAGTTTTGACTCTTCTTTTTAGTGCTCAGCCATCTCGCTTGCCTCTTTTCTCCTCTCCTCTCCTTGCTCAATCTCGCACAGTCGCACCACTACTCACTCATTCACCACTCTGGAGACAGGACTCACTAATGTTGTTCCTCCCTTATTCTTGGCACCTCTCTCTGTCTCCATCTCCTCTTAAGAGTCATCGTTCCTCCCTTCATCTCGGCACCTCTCATCGTCTCCATCTCCCATCGCAAGTGACATCGAGAAATTCTCCCATTCCAATGAATTCATATTGCGATCTTAGCTCCTCACCTCCTTCTTATTATTGGCCGCCTATTAGCTCGTATTTGTCATCATCCAAGAAGGTCTTATGTTGACTGTGTCTACCTTCGGTCCATTGCTCGCCTTCAATCACTATCAAGATTACTTCATCACTTCTTTTTCTTGCATCGAGATTGTGTTGTTCTGATCTTTGATTTAGCAAGCTCTAGTCTTTGATTGCTTTATTAATCATGTTCTCTTACTCTTCAATGCTCTAGCAATCCGAAGATGCACAAAGAACCTAAAAGGGATCAGATTGCTTCAAAAACTAAGCATCAAACCCCATGTTGTAGATCATTGTGATAGTCAATGAATTTGAAAATCTCTTTATATATATATATATATATATATTTTATGTCATTTGTAGGTTTATTGATTTTTTTCATTTCCAATTATTTTGCTGCAATAATTTTTCTTTAGTCTATGATTTATTCAGCTACTTTGAACTCATGATTTTGTTACTAGTAATGGTTTTTTAAGGCCTACTTCAAGCCCAATTTTAATATATTTTGGTCCAATTAAAAACCTGTAAGTAACAAAAAAAAAGATATTGAATTGAACATCTGGCTCGATATGCCAGACCTTACCTGCTCGAACCCTCCATAAAAGGGCATCTTTCTGGTAGGCTCGAGTTTTGGGCAAGTTTTTTTTGCCCAAATACATTTAAGGCAAGGCATTGGGTTAAGGGCCTGCCCTACCTCACACTACCCATGCACAATCCTAATAATAGTTACTATGATAAGCATCCTTTCTACATGATTATGAAGAATATTAAAGATTTCATTATAAGAGATTAAGTAGTTACGTTTGACCATATCTATAGAAAAGCCAATAAATATGTTTATTTGCTAGCCAAAAGGACATTGTGCGATAGTTTTGATATTTTTATATGTGACAACCCACCATCCCTTGCTATAAAAGCCTCATGATTTTAGACATGATTTTAGTCTCTTTATGTATGAAAAAACAAATTAGTAAATTATCATTCTTTTCCCCTACACACACGATTGTCAAATTCAGCTACTGATCGTTAATATTATATAAACATGCATGTTCAAAGCATTTTGGATATTCTATGTGTACGTACGCATTACCATTGTGGAGAGTTTTGTTCCAACATAAAACATCTGTTGACAATAACCACCTCTGAAAATATCAGTTATTCCAGGGCACATAATAAAAATAACGCTGTTAATTGTTTTTTTTTTGAAACTAAAGAAATGACAAAAATTTAATCATCATATATTTTAAGATACAGTCATCCAAATTATCCATACAATTCGATTCAACGCTCTAAATTATATTATATTTTTGGGTCAAAAAATTATATTATTTTTGAAATATTATTTTATTATTCACTACTCTATGATAATAGTATTTTTATGCATTATAGTATAATAGTAAAAAGTAATAACAATATATAATAGTTTAATCTATTTGAGAATCAGACACTTATGTGATGTGGGGGTGAACATATAGGGACTTATAGTCTGGCCTATTTTAGATCCAGTTTAATTTATTTATTAAATAAGCTTAGACTATGTTTATATTTTTAATTAAGCCTATTTAATTAAATAGATCAAGTTTATTTTTTGAAGCCTAGTTTATGAGCCAAGAGGCTGGCCTATTTATACATACATATATACATACAATGTAATATATTACAAACATATCAATTTCATTATTTAATTTTTAATCAATCTATTTTTTATTTCTAGTTATATTTTTAATTATATTGAATTTATATATTAATTTTAAACATTGTTACTTTGTTGTTATATTATATTGTAGTTGGTAAGTCCTTTCAATTATTATATATTATCCTTTCAATTATTATATATTGTAATTGATGAATTAGATTATATATTGTATACTATAATAGTCTTAAAGTATATTTAAGAAAACTAAAATATGTGTCTATTTAAAAAACTTACTTTTTAAGTAGGCTTCAGGTTAGGCCCGACTTTAAGTAGACTCAGGCTTTAGCCGTGAAAAAAATTTTATACAAGCTTCAGATCAAGCTCAAACTTTTAATTTATTATACAAATTTGACCTATTTAATTAAACTTAGCTCGACCTAACCTTATTTTACCCCTACTCACCCCCTTCTGGATTGACAATATATATATATATATATATATATATATAGGACAAGATTGACAATAAATATTAGGTAGAATGATAGTTAGGTTCTAAAACAGTAAATTAATATCAGTTAAATTTTTAACAAATTTTTTTAAAAAACAAGTTGAAAATATTGATCTAAATTGTTATAAATTTAAGAGTTTCAATTATAGTAAGTATTTAAACATTAAATATAATTTTTAAATTAAAATAGAAATTTTTGTTTGCAACTATTGAAATTGATATTTATAATTTATATTTAAAAAATTATTTAAACCTTAATTGATATTAATCACTGTTTTAAAATTTAACTGCCATTCTTATTTAGTGATGGTTACGGACCAAAAAGAGAGAGAGAGAGATATAAAGTAGAGAACGGGGTTTGCCACGTGGGACGATCTCGAGGTGGCTCCCACTTTACGTCGTCCAATTTGCTTTGGCCCTTGCTCGCTTATAAATGCATCCTCCCCTCTCACATAATCCCCATTCTCGTTTCTCATAAAAACTGATCTCCTGTACTTCTCTTCCTTATTTTTCTTTAAACTGCTCTCACAGACTCTTAGATTTCTTGAGCTGAGTGTGGATCTGAAGCAGCCATGGCTGGCGGAGGTATCGTCAGTGGGGGTGGCGGTGGCGATTTCGAAGCCAAGATCACTCCGCTCGTCATTATTTCATGCATCATGGCCGCCACCGGAGGCCTTATGTTTGGATACGACGTCGGCGTGTCAGGTCTTTCTTAAACTCCTTCCTTCCTTCTCTGCAACCTATCACTTCTGTTTCTTTTCCACCAATATGATCACAAATTCCTTTTTTGGGTCCATACGGAGTCCCTTTATTCCTTCCTGTAAAAGCTAACTTTATAGGTTTGTTCGAATATTCATACTTTATATATTATTTTCCTCTTGTTTTGACTGAATTTTTCGAGTTTTTTTAATAAAACCCAGCTGAGAAAGCAAAAAACAAATTTATTTTTCTATCTAATACTTTCCGTTATCAACGTTTTGTGAAGATTTTGGTTAAAAAAGAGTCCAACTCGGTGAAGGTTATTTTGTGAATTTGATATTTTTGACGAAAATATTGGGAAACTCCAACTGCTAAGGCCATCGGGAACTTGTTGAATCGACCCCCCAAAAAAAGCACCCGAACAGAGAGAACTGAATAAAATTACAATCGCAGCCATGGCCTAAATATTTTATTTCTTGTAAACTAATGTATGTTATTTGTCATCCTGGAATGGACCAGGTGGAGTGACGTCGATGAAGCCATTCCTGAAGAAATTCTTTCCGGTAGTATACAAACGGACGGTGGAGGAGGAAGGGCTGGACAGTAATTACTGCAAGTACGACAACCAAGGGTTGCAATTGTTCACGTCGTCTCTGTACCTGGCGGGTTTGACAGCGACCTTCTTTGCTTCCTACACGACCAGAAAGTTGGGAAGGAGGCTAACCATGTTGATTGCCGGCCTCTTCTTCATCGTCGGAACCGTCTTCAATGCCGCCGCTCAAAACCTTGCCATGCTCATCGTCGGCAGACTCCTACTCGGTTGCGGCGTTGGTTTCGCTAACCAGGTCCGTCCCCCATTAAACATATATTCAGTCCTATCTTGTGAGAAGATTAATTTTATTTTGGCGTACTTCACTGTTTTTAATTTATGTTCATTTTTATTAAATATTAATTTTTTGTCTTGAGAGACGAGTAAAAATTTATTAAATTTTAAAATAAAATTAATAAAATATAAGATTTTTCTCGGTTATGCTAAATCATGCCAAAAGTGGGAAGTGATTAATAGATAGGGCAGGAGGGAATCCCTTTATATTTAATTACCATATTACCCTCCTCGATTCAAGAACTCCATTTTAACAGGAGAAGAATAAATTAATGTACAACGAAGAAACTGGCGCTGTTTTACCATAGCTCATCACATCCATTTTGTCAATTATAATTATAATTCCATATTTGTTTAGCATGTAGGAAAGAAGACTTGGAAAATAGAACGTTTTAGTATTTTTTTTCCCCTTAAAAAATTTGGGGCTCTAATAGTAGATCAACGTGGAAAACAAAGGTGATGCTAAAACTGAAATGATTTGATTTGAGGTCGTTGTTGGTGTCCAAAGTGTGGGATAATATATGGGGGCGTCATTTTCACGGATCCAAAGACGTAAAGAAGATTGCAGTTTTGGGTTGGTGGACATGACTCGGGGGAGCATGCATAGTCATGGGCGACGTTTCTGACCTGCCCAAACAAAAAGCCAAAAGGCTTCGCAATAAAAAATAATTTAAAATTGATTATAATGATAGAAAAAGGCTGGAGGGGCAGACACGGTTTCCCGGAGATGCAGCTACAAAAGAGAAACGGGGAGCGTGCGTTGTGCCTTTCTCTGGAGCGGCATCGTCATGGTGGGGACAAATGCCCCGCAATAATGTTGATATTGCATTCCGCTAACTCCACTAGGCCGTCGAGAGGACTTTTGTGGCCATTTTTATCTGCTTTCTCTGGTACACCTCAGTTCATTACGCCTCTTGGCCTTCACCACGTTCTCCCACCTGACGTTGTTGAACCTGAGGGGGACCTCTTTTGTCTTGCGTTTTATATTTATTAGCTTCTTTGTGTGAGCGTCATTTTTATTTAATGAAAATCGGACAATCTTTTGATTGTGTGCTCAATTTCTTCTGATCTTGCAAAATTAATTTCTGCCTAACTGTGACGTATTACATGACCCTGATTCTACAATACTCTAGTCATAGATTGGTTGCACCTTTCAGCATATTCTTTAAATAAAAATTCCGAAATCAAGTTGAAATTAAGTTCCTCGGTTAGCCAATTATAGGTACACAGGTTTTTAAATGATTTAACAATTAATTAATTGACTTTGTGATAGGATGAATTTGACTTAGGAAGGTGTGAATAGGATTAAAAAAAATATCAAGTTCACATTATTAGTGGAATCATGCATGGACCTACCTACTGCAGACTGTTCCGGCTAATCACTCACTCTAATTTGAAATCAGGCTGTTCCGGTTTTCCTCTCGGAGATCGCACCGACGAGAATACGTGGAGGATTGAATATCCTGTTCCAGCTCAATGTCACCATCGGCATTCTCTTCGCTAGCCTTGTCAACTACGGCACCAACAAGTAAGTCCTCCTTGTTCGCTCATGTTAGTTGAAATTGCCTATTTTCTTACGCCAGTTTGATTGAACACTAATGCTGACCTCCGTTGTGCAACGGCAGAATCAAAGGCGGATGGGGTTGGAGGCTATCTCTGGGGCTGGCTGGCATCCCGGCCGGACTCCTAACCGTAGGAGCTCTCTTGGTGGTCGACACTCCGAACAGTCTCATCGAGCGAGGTCGATTGGATGAAGGCAAAGCCGTGCTTAAAAAGATAAGGGGCACCGACAACGTCGAACCTGAGTTCTTAGAACTGGTCGAGGCGAGCCGTATTGCCCAGGAGGTGAAGCACCCTTTCAGGAATCTTCTCAAGCGCCGCAATCGTCCCCAGCTGGTCATTGCCATCGCCTTGCAGGTCTCTGCCTTTTTTAATATTTCCCCGCTCTTTGTTGCTTTGTTTTGCAATTGCTTGCCGTTCGATTCTTCTCCATCCATTTTCTTACATTTGGATGCTCAAATTAAACACAGATCTTCCAGCAATTCACCGGTATAAACGCCATCATGTTCTACGCCCCAGTGCTGTTCAACACATTGGGATTTAAAAACGATGCTTCCCTCTACTCTGCCGCGATCACTGGGGCTGTTAACGTCCTCTCCACTATTGTTTCCATCTACTCGGTGGACAAAGTTGGGCGTCGCATGCTCCTCCTGGAAGCCGGTGTCCAGATGTTCTTGTCCCAGGTGGTGATTTCTATTATCCTAGGAATCAAAGTGAAGGACCACTCGGATGACCTCTCGAAAGGGTTTGCGATCCTTGTCGTTGTTATGGTGTGCACTTTTGTGTCTTCCTTCGCTTGGTCCTGGGGGCCTCTTGGGTGGCTCATCCCCAGCGAGACGTTCCCACTGGAGACCCGATCGGCGGGGCAGAGTGTGACTGTTTGTGTCAACTTGCTCTTCACCTTCGTCATCGCGCAGGCGTTCCTCTCCATGCTGTGTCACTTCAAGTTCGGGATCTTCCTGTTCTTCTCTGGTTGGGTCTTGATCATGTCCTGCTTCGTCCTCTTCTTGCTCCCGGAGACCAAGAACATCCCGATTGAAGAAATGACAGAGAGAGTGTGGAAGCAGCACTGGTTCTGGAAGAGGTTCATGGAAGATGATTATGGTGATGTCGTGGATGGTAAAGCAGCCAATGGTAAAAATGGGCGAGTTAATGGATTTAATCCCTCTTCCCAATTGTAAATAAGAATATCGCCATAAAATTGGGTTTGCCATACCAGTAATTCAGGCTCCCCCTCCCCCTCCCCCTCCCCCTCTCCCTCCATCCCTCCCTCTGAATATAGTAAATGCCCGAACATAGTATCATCACGCGCATGAATTAACCATCTTTCCCAAAGCAGTTAATATATTTCAGAATTTTGTGACCCCCTTGGGTTTCCCTTCTTCTTCTTTTCTTCTTTGTATTATGAGAGATGATGTTATTCAAATCAGATATTTCAATTTTTCTCATGGTTGAAACAGGTGCTGTAATTTGGATTGCAAATTAGTTGCTGGAACACCCCCCCTCTTTTATCTTCTTTTCCTTTAATTTCTTTCTCATGTTTTCTCGTCAGAGTACAGTCTCTCTTCAAACGAGGGAGTTGTGATTACCAGGGAACGAATAATAAGTCTTAAAAAAATAATTAATATTTGTTGGAAGCAAAATTAAATAATAGCGGGTGGAATATAAAGCATGACCATGGCATTCCTTCTAAAGCAGCAGGGGCAAAAAACTTCCCTCGTTTTTCCCCCCCTTTTCAGGTGGAATCCACTGCACGTCAGCACCTTAAAAAAACCAAATATAATGCCAATCGATATTTGGTGACAATGGATATACGAACCAATCATTCATTGCATGAATTACAAGTAATAACTCTGTTTTTTTCGGCCAAAGAATCATCTTCATTGATTTTTCAAATAAACTGCAAGTAATCAAGAAATGTAATCTCATCAATCGATATATTACTGCGATTAAGAAGAAAAAAATCACACATTTTGATGCTGATATTAAATGCAAACAACTTCCTCTATTCATAATAAATTCTCTCGCCCACCTTTGCCTAGTGGATATTATACCAAATTCTTCAACCCGCGCGAGGCTTAAAATTTGAAACAAATGTTGATTGAGTGGAAGTGATTAAAACTATTTGAGGCCCAAGGATTCATCTTACGGAAAGTATCTGATATAAAATAAAATGGATACATCAAAGAAAAAAAAAAAAATTACACGCCATGTGGTCCTATTCTCTTTGTGCATGGCTGTCTCAAATTCATAAATTGTTGGAATGCATACATCTGCATCTATGTCTATATTATATTATATTTAAAGAAATACTTTGAATATTGGAGCATTAAGTCTTGATCATATAAGATACATGCATTAGTTTTTTCCATGTAAGATTTTTTTTCAAATTAAACATGAGATCTGATGATTCGATGAACCGAATCATTGAAAATATCAACAATCGTAGTCCATTACATAATTACCATTTACCGTGAGTGTCATGGGTTGCATCAGGGCCGAGTATCCGATGCCAGGCCAGACCCAACTGTCTCTGATTCGATTTATTGCCAAGTCAGTCTATGCTGATTGGACCATTAAAAATTGTGAAAAATTATAAAATTTTTATATTATATCCTAAAATAATTTTTTAAAATAATAACCCAGTATGTTCAGCGCTTTCCTTGCTCAAACTCAATTAATGCTGTTAACAAAAAAAAAAAAACAAAAACAAAAGAATTCTCATCTCGATGGAATTGGGTTGGCAATAGTGTCAACCGTGCCAAAGCGAACCAGGCTCAACCCAATTTGATGCCATTCTTTTTTACTTTAACAAGGACTTATGTTGACAGACAAAAAAAAAAAAAGGACTTGTGTGGTTTTAACTTTTTTAATTAGTAAGATAAAAATTTACAAGTATTTAAAATAAAAAATATAATACATATATATTTTTATTCATGTTTTAAAATTTTCTTTTAAACCATAAAAACATTACAAATAAGTTTAGATAACTGCATTTTTTTTTCCGAATAGAATATTTCTGTTTAAATTACTAACTAATTTTTATTTTATTTCTGTTTTACCTTTTTTTATTTCTGTTTAAATTTTAGATAGCATTTTCTTTATCTTATGTTAAACTTTATAATACTAGCTAGTATTTATCAATTCTTACGGTCTTGTATCATATTTTATCATACAAAAAATATATAACTGTGACTTGATTTAATTTTCAAATGTTTTAAGATAGTTATCCAAAGTCCTTGCAACTAATGGATTAGAAATTTAAATTTAAATTTAAATATTTACGTATATCTTGATTTTTTTTAAAATTTTAAAACACGAAGTGTTTGACTCGATCAATTAATAGTTTTTTTTTTTAACAGGATAGTATAAATTAGACAATTACTTCAATCTCCCGGTAAGAAAAGATAATTGCTGTAATCTATTAGATAATTATGGATAGTCCTTACCATTGAAGGGTGTAAAACATTACCAGTTTGATGGTGCCTTATAAACACGCCCTCCCCACCCATTGCTCTTCACTCGCAGTATTGCATTGCTTCTCTTTCTCCCCCTCTGCACACTACCCTCATTGACTTGTAGATTCTTTCGGAGCTGTGTGTCCGAAGAAAGCATCCATGGCTGGCGGAGGTTTCGTTAGAGGGGGCGCCGCCGGCGATTTCGAAGCCAAGATCACTCCGCTCGTCATTATTTCATGCATAATGGCCGCAACTGGAGGCCTTATGTTTGGATACGACGTCGGCGTTTCTGGTCTCTACTTTCTCTCTTCAACTCTACCTTTCCTATTCACTACCCTATTGATTCTCTCTCCTTTCACGCTGAACACAAGACTGATTACCTTTCATTCCTGCGGATGCTAGCTAATCGTTATTATACAAATTTAAAACAGAAAAAACCTTTTACATTCATCTTTATTCTTTCCATTAAAAATAAAACCTCTCTTAGGGTTTACTCATCATATCATATTCCCGTCCGTTCTTCGCTTGTAAACTAATGTATGTTATTTGTTATGATGGAATGGATCAGGTGGAGTGACGTCGATGCCTCCGTTCTTGAAGAAATTCTTTCCGGTAGTATACAGACGGACCGTGGAGGAGAAAGGGCTGGACAGTAATTACTGCAAGTACGACAACCAAGGGCTGCAATTGTTCACGTCGTCTCTGTACCTGGCGGGTTTGACAGCGACCTTCTTCGCTTCCTACACGACCAGAAAGTTGGGAAGGAGGCTAACCATGTTGATCGCCGGCCTCTTCTTCATCGCCGGAACTGTCTTCAATGCCGCCGCTCAAAACCTAGCCATGCTCATCGTCGGCAGACTCCTACTCGGTTGCGGCGTTGGTTTCGCTAACCAGGTCCAACTATCCAGCATATATCTTTCCTTCTTTCTTTTTTACAACTATATCTCGAGTTGCATAGAGCCCAAAAAATCTATATATTGCTGCTGATGATAACTATTTTATCCTGATAATAATATTAATATAAACAAATATTAACATCTATCTGAGTTGTTTACCACAAAAAAAAAAAAAATCGGGTTAGCCTTAGACTTACGTGTCTTATGCCAAAAGAAAGTCTTAGACTTCCTGGACCACCTAAAAGTGTTTTTTTTTTTTTGGGTGTCATCTATGACCTAAACCATCCATTAATCAATGTTTCTGTGCCCATTATAGTATTCATTTTACCCGAAAAAAATTTGACGTCGACAAACTTGATAGGGATCTCTTCTGATCTGTGTTTTTTTCGGTTTAATTATGTGAAGTTGTGAGCGCACAATATTATGGTAATCGGATTTTTTTCTTGAAACCCAAAAAGAGCAAACTGAACTCAATGATTTTCGGACCTTTTTAAAAAACAAGGTTTCTTTGGAAATTAATGTCATTGCCTCGTTGGCCTAATGTCAAACAATGACGCCTGGCATGACCTATATATTCGTTCAATTTAAGTATGGCAGACTATTCTATGTATTCTTCAGTCTCAGATTGTACCTCTTGATTCTTTAATTATGTTGCTTCAGGTCTAAGTTAACAAGAGGCACGAAGACACAGAATGTTCTTAAATTGTTTAACAATTATCTAATTGGCTAGTAGTGGGGGGAGCGGGGCTCTGACTAAGATATATCAAGTTCCCATTAGTGGAGCAATATTTTAAACCTACTGAAACAGGCGGCTAACTCATATTGTTGCAATGTTGCGTGAATTTGAATGCAGGCTGTGCCGGTTTTCCTTTCTGAGATCGCACCTACAAGAATACGTGGAGGATTGAATATACTGTTCCAGCTCAATGTCACTATTGGCATTCTCTTCGCTAATCTTGTCAATTATGGCACCAACAAGTAAATCACCTCCTCTTGTTTACTTCACTAGTTGAAATTTCCTTTAAAAAAAAAAAAAAACGCCAGATTGATTGAATACTGATGCTGACATCGATTGTGCAACGACAGAATCAAAGGAGGATGGGGTTGGAGGCTATCTCTGGGGTTGGCTGGCATCCCAGCGGGACTCCTAACCTTAGGGGCTCTTTTGGTGGTCGACACTCCCAACAGTCTCATCGAGCGTGGTCACCTGGAAGAAGGCAAAGCTGTTCTTAAAAAGATAAGAGGCACCGAAAACGTCGAACCTGAGTTCCTAGAACTGGTTGAGGCAAGCCGTATCGCTCAGGAGGTGAAGCACCCTTTCAGGAATCTTCTCAAGCGCAGCAATCGTCCCCAACTGGTCATTGCCATCGCCTTGCAGGTCTGTGCCTTTTTTAAACTTTTCCCCCTTGGTGCTCTGCTTTTCTGAAGCTTGCTGCTCAATTTCTTTTGTTCATTGTCTTACACTTGAATGCTCAAATTATATACAGGTCTTCCAGCAATTCACCGGCATAAACGCAATCATGTTCTACGCTCCAGTGCTGTTCGACACGTTGGGATTTAAAAATGACGCTTCCCTCTACTCTGCTGTTATCACCGGGGCTGTTAATGTCCTCTCCACTATAGTATCCGTCTATTCAGTGGACAAAGTTGGACGGCGTGTGCTCTTACTGGAAGCTGGTGTTCAGATGCTTTTGTCTCAAGTGGTGATTGCTGTGATCCTAGGAATCAAAGTGACGGACCGCTCTGATGACCTTTCAAAAGGGCTGGCTGTCTTAGTGGTGGTTATGGTGTGCACTTTTGTATCTTCCTTCGCTTGGTCCTGGGGGCCTCTTGGGTGGCTCATCCCCAGCGAGACGTTCCCTCTGGAGACTCGCTCGGCGGGGCAGAGTGTGACTGTTTGTGTCAACTTGTTCTTCACCTTTGTCATTGCACAGGCTTTCCTTTCAATGCTGTGTCACTTCAAGTTCGGGATCTTCCTGTTCTTCTCTGGATGGGTCTTGATCATGACCTTCTTCGTCCTTTTCTTGCTCCCCGAGACCAAGAATGTTCCCATTGAAGAGATGTCGCAGAGAGTATGGAAACAGCATTGGTTCTGGAAGAGGTTTATGGAAGATGGTGATGATGTGGATGACAAAGCAGCCAAAGGAAAAGATGGGCATACCATAAGATTTGATCCCGCTTCTCAATTGTAAAAAGTATTGTCGTTGAACAATGAACACAGTACTAGTAATTTAGCCTCAGGCATTAGTTTAAATGATTTAAATACGTTGAACAGAGTGTTATCGTTCGCATGGATTAAACTGTTTCAGAAGGCAATATAATATATTTCAGATGATTTTCTTCTGTTTTATTTTGTCTTTTCTTCTTTGTATTCCGTGATATAATGTTATTCCAATAGATATTCCAACATTCACTCATGGGTGAACATAGGTTTATGGCTCGGATTACAAATTATCTGCAAACCAAATTGCCTTCTTATACCACCTTCCCACCGCACTGGTAGTCGCCTAGTATGTGTGAAGCAACCAACAATCTGGCATAACAGCATATAACATTATCTGCTTTTTGTTAGCTATCACTGTTCAGGCATATAATTTGTGCGTAATTTAATGGGTTTCTATTTCTAAGCTTTCTGTCCATTTATTTGCTTATAAGACAGATTTTTTTTTTTTGGTGGTTAAACTTGACGGCAATATCTTTAACCACTTGCACGCAATATCTTTAGACTGAAGTTAGTTGGGTTTAGGCCAAATTTCTGAGTTGTTTCAGCTCTCAAGACTCTTTGAAAATTGATGGCACACCTTAAATGAGGACAGACATAAAATCGAACAAACCTTTATTGGATTGATTTGATACGCGTATGCTTCATGGCGGTATTTAATTGTAGTTTTGAAGTAGAGGTTGAATGTAGCACTTAAGTGTTGTGCACTTGTGCTTAATGCTTGTGTTTCATGTAACCTCCAAATGGGAACAGCCTACGGTGGTTGTCCATAATGATGAAGCTCACCATTACATTACAATTTCCCATAGTAAATAGCAAAGATGAAGTGCAGTAGCAGCACGCACAACCACGCCACGTTCCTAACATTCTTTCCTTCCAAGTCTCACAATTCACCAGAATAGCATACTTTGGTACCGAATTACATCACGCAACTAATATATCTAATCTAATTATCAATACAAATTTGACTGAAGATTAAGTTCAACTTCACGCAAGTCCTCTCCCTTAATTTTATTTAACAGAAAGGTTGAACTTGGTCGTTTATCTCATTCATGTGATTGTAATTTTATATAGAAGATCAAGGACCCACAGAACCCATCCAATCTGCCGATGCAATGAGAACAAGGGACCCACATGTTCTCTGTTCTTACTAGGAAAAGGGGCCAAACGATTTAACTTTTCCTACCTCAACCTTCAAAAGCTATATAAAACTCCCTAGAGGAAATAAAAGCCCACACATATCCCACAACTGAGTTGAATGAGCTGAAGAAGACAGAGAAATAAGTAAATCAGAGCTTAGAGGTACAGAGATGGGTATGGTGGAGAGAGGTGTGGTTGCTTTGTTGATGGTGGTGGCTATGGCGGCTCTGGAGGTGTCATATGGTGCAGTCTACAAGGTCGGGGACTCCGCTGGTTGGACCACCATTGGCAATATAAACTACAAGAAATGGTCTGCTACCAAGAACTTCCAAGTTGGTGACACTATCAGTAAGTACTCACTCTCATTCCATTTCTACATTACAATTTTGTCTTTAGTTTATCATAGATGAGATCAAAGTTTCCCACAGTCCAACAAGAATATCAATCACACCACTATTTTACAATTCTAAATCTTAGTTTCTAAGAATAAGAATGCCCTGTTTTGTGGAGAAAAATTGATTAGCTGCTACACTCTGTTTGAAGTTCCCTTCCTGTTTTACGAGAAGGAAGCTTCTGGAGTAAATTTCTCTGTTAAGCAAGCAAAACAAGTCTGGTTTAAATTATAATCCTTCTTGTTATTAGAAAATATGTGCCAAGGGCCCTACGCGAGTTTAATTACACTTTCTCCCCAAAAGTTTTTGTTCTTTTAGAACCAACATGATGATATGATAGCGTTCACTCGCGTGACCTACCCACTTTCATTGGCATTCATTCATTTTCCCAGAACTGTCTTTAGTGCAGCTGCTCTTTCTGGGTGGGAAGAAACTTATCAACATGCAATGAGAATGTCTCACAAACATTATATCCCGCCAAATCATTTTAGATACATCCCATTTTAATTAATAAATAATTAACTTGAATTAATGAAAAATTATGACTAAAGAGCATACTAATCCATATTTAATTTTATCATTTTCAATATTTTACATTCTGAATCCACTCAACACCCTACGATATTTCATAAATATATATAATGCCCCAGAATAACCAAAGAGCATAATCTCTGAAATATTGAATCAGAAAAACTTGCATCTCTCTTCCTCCCCCTCACTTATTTCGCAGTAATATTTAACTCCATTATACATGAACATGGATCATTAATGAGAGCAAAAAGACGTGTAATTAATGTCGTGGCTATATGTCATCATCAGTTTTCGAATACAACTCGCAATTCCATAATGTGATGAGAGTGACGCATGAGATGTACAAGTCATGCAATGCTTCGTCACCGTTGGCGACCTTCAGCACAGGGAAGGATTCCATAGTGATACAGAATCACGGCCACCACTTCTTCTTCTGTGGCGTCCCTGGTCACTGCCAAGCTGGTCAGAAGGTTGACATCAACGTCCCCAAGGTCTCTGCAACTTCAGAAGCTCCCACTCCTTCGGCTTTGGCCTCTCCCACAGTTTCAGTTCCAAACAACGAGCCAGCACCTTCTCCTAATCAAGCTGCTTCAATAATGGTGTTTGCTTTCAAGGAACGTTTTGCGTTTCTGGGCTTGTCCATTGCATTGCTCTTTGCTTGTCCTTAAATATTGCCATCTTTCTTGATGGGTATGCTCAATGAGCATGTGCTTTTGTAACCAGTTAGTCATGCTTAATAAAAATCCATTGAGAATGAGTGTTTTAGATGATAAAATGTATCATTAAGTTCATTGTAATTTGTTGGAAATGGTCAGGCAAAGCTTCTCCAAAGGGTCAATGTCTGGATCATTTGCCGAGATCATTAGGGGCATGTTTGTAAACCTTTTTGCTTAACAAGATTATGGGCATGCACATGAAGGTCATTATCCATAGAAAAAACAGGTGTATATATATAGATATATATGAAAGAGAAGGTTTTCAATCTGAAATAAAATGAAGAGTCATTATATATTTCTCTACGCTATAATTTCATCCTTCCAACTTGAGTCAATCATCTTGCCTGTGTCAATACCCAATATATGTCAGATATATTCAAATAAAGAAAATAAAAGGCATGATGGATGATGCAGAGTTTTTTTGCCTGTAAAAAGAGGGGAATAAGAAATAAATTGGTGGATAAACTTTGATATAGAAACATAAAATCCTTACAAAACAAAAAAGCACGATGATAAGTTCATAGATTCTCTCCCATCGGCCTCCATAAGTAATGAGGTAGCAAAAAGGCTCGTAATATTACTTGTTTAAAATTGGACTTGGAAATTTTGGGTGAAAAAAGGAAATATAATTTTGAAATGCGTAGATTCTCCCTTGTCACAGTAAAAATCTAGAAAGGCAAAATGAGAAAGGAGACACTTTTTTTCTTTTTTGATACAATAGGAAACAAATTTTATAAGATCTAATTATATACAAGTCAAGCCTATTTTATGAATGAACCAATAAGACAAAGCTAAATGCCTATGTGGCATGAACTCACTCTCTTTCCACTTACTGAAGTTGATGAATATGGTCGAGAAATTGAATGAAATTATCTAAAACTTGGGACATTTGAATTTTCGTTGGCTTCCTGCGACTTTATATTTTTAAGATTCTGCAAAAAATCCACAACAGAGGCCGCAGTCCCTTATACTATATTTTATTTTTAACAGAAATGAACAATGCGTGACGTGATATGCTAGTAAAAGCTAGTACAAGAGTAGGTTTTCTAATTTATATCGCTGAAATAGACCGGGGAAAAAAAATGAAAACCAGTTAGTTAAGCATGTAAACATTCATTTCGCCTCTATTCTAAGTCGATTTTCATAATACCTGCATCCCTTCCAAAGCCACCTATACAATGCAAACAAGCATCTAATGAAAAAGAATTTAATGATGTAACAAAATTTGAACAAGGATATACGAACCCATCAATCATCATAATGTAACTTTGAGCTTGCCACTAATTTAAGAAAATGTAAATCTCAACAATAAATACGCCACCATGATTGAAAAGAATTCACACATTCCCATTCCAATGCTAAATGCTGGTTACCTCATCTTATCCATAATCTATTAACAAATTCCTAAACCACTTTTGCCTAGTGAATTAATATACAAAATTATAGGGCATTGTTTGCAATCCCTCCCCTAAAAAGTAATCCAGACCAACCATGGGGGCCTCTATCATATTTAAACATGAATTTAAAAAAATATAATGAAGAATGAACTTGAAATAAAATTGAATGTAGAAAGGCCTAATCTACAGGCTGCACTAGCCAGAAATTTGATCCTGAACCAGTAGGCCATTTAACAAAGGCCGCTCAGCATCTGCATTCCTGGTCATCAATTTTTTATCACGATTCTGCATTCTGTAATGGAAAAAAAAAATCGTAAACAGAATATTCAAAAGTCAATTTATTGCAACTAGATACCCACTAAAGGATTTAATGATAATCCCGTCTTAGAAGAGAGAATTGCAGCAAATACACTGGGAATTCACAATGACACAAGCCACAGTCATTAAAAGCCTACCCGGTCCTATTCAACCAATACACATTTCCTATTTAGGCTCTAACGCGCTATTTTGGAAAGAAAATCATTGTTCATTAGGTAACTGAACCTTGGAGAAAAGACAGGTTCCAATGGAGCACAAAACTTGACAGAAAATTACATGACCCTACAAAATATCAGAGCAACAATTGCAAAGAGGCGCCAAAACATAATTCCATGGCATGGCAATCCACAACCACCAAAAACTGAAATTGCGTTAGAATCGTTGCTTAGCATAATTACTTGAATTCACTTTCACTAAAATAGATGTAACATAAGTGAAGCATCAGAGACCTTACTCTAGTTGATTGGAGCTCTACCGCATTCACAGTTTCAGCGTCCTGGTCAAACATTAATTACATAGTAAGAAAATATTAAATATTCTGCAGTTCCAACAAACTTAAAATTCAATAGCCGCTATGGCAAAAAATAAAAAATCAACAGCCGCTGAGAAGATTACCTCAATCAACAAGTCTTTTCTGGTTATCAAGCCAAGTACACGAGATGGACGTGGAACAACAAATAAATGCCTCAACCCTAATTGGCGGAAAAGATTGTAAACCTGCAACATCAGCAAAATATAATAATTATTTGACATAAAAGGATAATGTAAATGAAAGAGTTTTCAAGGAAAGGATGAAAAAAAATACACCTTTGTCAACGACATATCTTCAGGCACAATGTATGGCGATGGATTCAAAAAAGGGGCAAGATCTATGTACATTTCCAAGTCATCTGAACTTAAAAATATATCATCTATAGATATTCCCTTACTAGAAACAGGCTTTGCAAATTCGCCAAAGTCATGCCTGGAAGTTCAAAAAAGCCATGAGAATAGAGAAGAAAAGGACAAATCTAAAAAGCTCCATGAAGCTTTACCTTATTGGCCTTGCTTCACCTCTGGGATCAGAGGGTAAAGGACTATACTGGAAATCAACTTTTGTTTGCAGAATTACCAATAAATGACTGCACAAAGAGACAGATTACGGAAACTTAAGGTTTCCAGCAATGCAAGCTTTTGCCTACAAAACCAAATAAATAAAGACAGATGCAGGATAATGAAACATCCTCACCTTCGAAGTACTAATCCAATAACAAGTGGTTCTCCACTTCTTGTGTGATCAATAACCTGCGCATAGTAAATATTGAAAAATTTAGAAAATGGAAGGCATTAAATTATTAAATGAAAAAACATAGATCATATATGAGCTAGAAACATACAGGAAAACCATTGTGTTTGTTGCTCCGAAGAATAGAAACTACATCTGCAACCTTAACAACACGGGGGAAGGAGACCACCTGCAATGTACAGTCGATATTACAATCTGTTGCCAAAAAAAAAAAAAGCAAGTGTGCGGAGCATATTCCAATTAGGGGGGGAGGTCGTATTTCATAAATGTTGGGCATTCAATAATATAATTTAATTGTTACATGAAGATAGGTGGCATTTTGTTGAGCAGCACCTTTTCTTGATGTGACAGCACAGTGACAGCTGTTGAAAGTAATGCATACAGAAGAGGCCAAACAAAAAACTTTTCTTTCTCCCTCTTTACACTCCCATGACCCCAAAACTAAAACAATACACATATCTCAGTTTTCCTTGATAATAACCCCCTCCTGTAACTTTACAAGCTGGTGATGTTTGAATGATATGGAATGGACCCATATTTCAATTAGGCATTCAAATTGTGGTGGTCCAAAAATATTTTCCATGTTCTAAATGGTTTCATGGTCGGCAACACTAACAGCCAAAAAACTTTGACTAGTTGACATTTAACACCAGCTAACAATAAATTAGCAATTTCTTAATAGAAATTATAATCACCATTCCACTGCCACATGCCTCCCTTGCTGTCATGTTCCGCATCACATATTTGGGCCTTGGTTCCAGTAATGGAATACCCCTCAGTCGTGCCTGCTCTTCATAGAGACCCTCATTAAAAGCATCACCAACAGCCTGTAGTGTCACAAATTTAATGTATTCAAAATGACATTCTGAACTTTTGGTCATGAAGTAAATTTTCACGCACATACCTTTGATATAAGAAGAACAAGCATGATAAGGGGTAAAAGTTTTAAGTTATTTGTGATTTCAACCATAATGACACATAGAGACACTGTCATCCGCATTGAACCTCCAAGAAAAGATGCAGCTCCCAGCAGAGCATACCTGGGGACAAGTATCACATGTACATTTCAGGGATGATAAAAGGTTTAGTAATGGAGCACATCATTCTAATAAGTAGAGGTATCAACAACCAAAGGTTATTTGCATTTTTCACATAAAAAGTATAAATAGCAGAAGTACAAGGGAAATATTTTTGACAGGTAACATTCTGCTTGTTTAAACATCAACTGACACTAAATCCAAGACATCCAGAACATACAATCATAAGAAAAGTCATCCCAATGGTTTCCTGAAACCTCCATGCTTCTATTTCTCCTCATAAAAGAGCATAAACCTCAAAGCATAGGCTAGTTCATACTAGAGATGCTTGAATGGTCAACTGCAGCACCAATTTTTTTTCCCATTAGCAACACTGACTAGCATAAAAACAATTTCTTAGCTACTGAGGTCTCTTGTTAAAATATCTCCCCAACTCCTCCAGGGCTGTTTTGCATAAGGACATAAAATTCTTAGCAAGAGGCCCTTGATTTGTTGAACTGTCAAGCACTGTTACAAAGATTAGGAATACAAAATAGCCATTTTCTTAAAAACCCTCTCATGTGGTGCTGCGCAGTCAAACACATCTCGTGTGCTTTGGTAGGAGAATTGATAGCAAAGAACTCTAAGCATTTCCGTGAAGTTTTCTCCAGAATTTCGTTCAGAACAGAGTTCAGAATAGGAGAATAAAGCCTCTTCCAAACCGAACTCAGAAAGCATGATAATACAGAGGATTCATCGGATTCATCAGTTGATTAACAATGGATTCTATGAACAAACCTACATGCCTGTATATGTATGATGGAAAAAGATATAGTTAATCATGATTTCAAAGAATAGCAAATAAGAAATACACTCACGTTCCCTCTTCAATGTTGAGCTTTCTGTAATATCTTACAACAAACATGCCAACTAGACGCCCATATGTTGAACCTATCATGATTCCAGGAACAAACTGACCAGCAGGAACAGCAGTACCAAATGTCACCACAGCTAAAGTATAAAACATAACCTGCCACATGATGGAGAAAATGATCAAAATAGGGGGAAAATGAAGAGTCAAAACTCACAAGTTCTTACTCCCTATATCATACAAAAACATAAAGATAAAGCATCTATTGGAAGTCTTGGTCAGAAACTTGGTCGACAAGGCCTGCATATTTATTCATGTCTTGCAAGATAACATGCTCCCTTGAAAAATGAAACAAAATTGCTCCATTCGTGATATTAGTATCATCAGAAAGTGCAGTCAGGCAATTTA